TTCCCAGACAGTGTCCCACTTGAGTCACCAGCCATCTGCCCATCACTGTGCAATCGTCTCCAAATTCCCATTTTCCAAAAAATTATCCATATTCCAGGCTGTAACCGGGGGTAATGACCAGAGCTGTGGTCATGCACTTACTTATGCAGGCAATTTCCATGTTCCTGACCCTGCTCTGCTAATGTAAAGGCAGTGCTGCACCTTCAGTCTGAAATATTATGCAGGGTGCTAACGGGAAACTGTTGCAGTTTGCAACCCAGCTGAGATGCTAATGCATGAGGACACAGAACTGGTACAAATGCAAACTCCTGGTTGTCTAATAACCATGGGGCACACAGGTGACAAATGTGAGAAATCAGACCTGGAAAACCAAGGCTCCAGCTCTGGTTGTGAACAGGGGCATCCCTAGGGCTGGACTTCACCCCTCACGGCTGAGGTTCTTGGGACAAGAGCCATGACCGGCCTTCCCCCATGGGCTGAAATGCCCAGCTCTTTTGCTTATACCTGAAAGGAAGCAGTTAAAGGCTGGCTGGCACCAGGTTTACACTTTAGCCTCCCCTGATGCATCCGCAGCATGAATTCATCTCTCCACGCCTCAGTCCTGCCCCAGTTGCCCTCAGATACCTGCCACATCGGCTATGCACAGCTCTGTACCCGCGAAGCTGCACCCCCTCACCCTGGAGCCATCATCACCATGTCCCTTTCCGTGCCTGTCTCAGGGTATCCCACCTATTCCCATGCCTGGCCTCCAACAGCATCCTGACTGCAGTGGGCAGCAGAAAGCAAGTCTAGACCCAGGATGCCGACAACCTAGTTCACACCCCAAATGTACCACAAAGCTATTCAAGAACATGTTTATCAACTCTTTTCCATAAATTTTTCATTTGCCAGGCTAATAGGCCCAGTGGGGGAGCAGGTTAATGAGAAGATGGGAAGCTGAGTTATACTTAGTCAAAACACAGACATTAAAGATCAAACTGGGAGAAATCCAGACACAGAGGCTGTTTTGAAGGTTTGGCCTCCCCTGAAGTGCAATCCCACGAACTCCTCACCAGGTGTTAAACACAGTCTGATAACCAAAGTCTGCTTCTAACTGAGGTTTCTCACGCTTCTCCACCAGCTCATCCGGCGGAAGTCCCAACCCCAGAACAAAGCCCGTGAATGGGAATTCATACCCTCCCTGAGGGGGGAATGCAGTCCCCCTCATGGTCAAGACCCCCTGTCCTCCCAGCCTTCTGGATCCCACATCTCCATCCTTTTGGTCACTTACTCATGTCAGACACGGATCCAGCTTGCCTGACTTCTTCTTGTGGCTCTGATCCCATGGGTAGGGCTCCTGACCTGGGTAAGCAGGTGCTGTACCACCTGCATCTGTTCAAACTGTTGCGAGGAGCCCACCTGCTCCCAAGCTTCCCACACCTCCTGATGGATATTTAAAGAACATCAGGCAGAGGGATGAGGAATTAGATGCTGAATCTTTCTTCTGCCCTCTTTTATGCAGTGATTACAGGATCTCTTCTCTCTGTCTTCTCTAGTGTTAGAAACCATGCACTGGGACACACCTATTTTCATAGAAAACATTGTTAGACTTCATAAGGCTCTCTTTCTCCCATCTATGTTGTTAGCCACCTCTCTCAGTCATAGTAATTTTGGCTGTGCCATGATGTCCTCCTCCTGACGCTTTAAAAAAAGCTTGATTTCACTAGTTTACCTCCCTGCTTCTGGTATGGCACTGAAATGCTGAATTGCCCATTGTAAGTTTGTTAAATCCTATGTCACAACTTCCCTTTTCATGTCATTCCTAAAGCCTTCACATTATTTAACCTTTTGTGTGCAGTTGTGAGTTACAACAACCTACCTTCTACCCCTCTAGCTTGCTGTGGGTATGGTCTGGCCCAAAAAATGAATGTTCAAAATCTTGCTGGACACTAATTTTAGCAGACTGTATGGTTCCCCTGCTCATCAGTGCACTCCTGGCCTCTTCCCACCCACCTTCCACCAGGTGACTGCTGGTCCTGGACGCACCACTGAGTTATGGTATAGCCACAGTCATGACTGCAGTTATTCCCTGTAACATTGCAAGAGAATTTCTTTGGAAGTGGAGATATGCCTCCTGTTCCCAGGGTCTGCTATTCCTGTTATGAGATTGCATTGAACAAGGACGTGACTAGTCACTGCTATCACCTCTTCTGACTAGCTCACCACACCCTGGATGGGAGATACACATCCAGCACTACATCCTATGGAAAGATGGGGCTAAAATCCTGCACAGTCCTACCACTGGATCTTACTTCAGTCCTCAGCTGAAGTCTGGAGAGGGAGGAAGGAATCAGAGGCTTTTCTGCTGCAGCTGAGGAAGAATTCTCCTTCTTGTTTGAGGAGGAAATACAATAAACTTCTGAAAAATAAGGGCTTGAGCCAGCACTGAAAGTGAACCTTGGAGAAATTGCGTACCTAGACACTCCTCTCCAAACAGGCTGCTGTGAACTGTAGAGCTGACAGAAGACATCAGTGGAAAGAAAGCTGCATTTAATTTAAAATGTGGTACCCTGGCTGAAACCATCACTGGTGGGTCCTACTTTGTGGAGAAAGAATAAAGTGGAAAAACTGCATCTGAAGAATGCGTCTTAAAAGAGCAGCCTTTCTCACTAATTCTTTCCTATGTTAACATTGACAAGTGTTCTATCAAGTGGTATGGGAACTGGTAATTTAGTAATTCCTCTTTGCATGTGAACTACTGATGTCTTATGATACATGGTACTCCCAAGCTTTTCTTTATAAAACAGTGTTCTCTTGGGAAGAAAAAAAAAAAAAACAATAAAAAAACAACTGAAAAAACCAAACAAAAAAACCTTCCCAACCCCCCAAAAAAGTCCTCTCAAGCTTGGGGAAGGGGGGGGGAAGAGAAAGGGTGTGTGTGGAGTTTTCCTTGTTAATTTTATAAATTTTTGTAGGTTTAATGTTATTTTTAATGTTTGAGGCTAGTAGCACTGTTTAAAATGCAAAATTCTTACAAGAAAACACACCTGCTATGCTTTTATTTTAATTAAAAACTACCAAAGACCTCTGAACTCCTATAAATTACCCTCTGCATTGTTTTATGTGTATAATTAATTTTTAAAAAAATTTGAAATTGTTCACAAATCATATTTGCTGCCCAGTGCCGCCCCAAGAGTTAAACGTCTACCCTATCACTGACCTCACCAATAAATTTTTAAAGTGTAATTACATGGAGTTTCCCTAATTCATTAAGAAACCATAGCGGTTAATATTCTCGACAATGACTTCTTGACCCATATTGAAGACAGAGGATTTTTTGAGGAGGACTGGAACTCTACATCACGTCTGCCTCAAAAGCCACAGACACTTCCTTCTTACTTTGAACGAGGCCACAGGTGAATAACCAATACTGTACTTTGATGTTCATGTGTTGTGTACCATCACCAGCACGCCGGCACGCAGGAATTTTCTTGAGCTTTAGTACATTTTGAGTCAGCTAGGATTATATTGCATTCTTAGAAACATTTTCAGGACTGTACACTGGGCTAGAAATATTGTCAAGAGTAGGCATGTGGAACAGCGAGCCCATGTATCGTTCTCTTGGGTCTTTTACCTGGCGATGAAATTCTCCCCTCTTAAACACTTGTACAAATGGACCACAGGTCACATAGTGTCTAAAACTGAACAGTCAATCTATCTGGAGACATCCTCAACTTTCAGGTCACACTCATCCCCTTCGCTTTGTTCCAGCTCATTTGTGAGCTAGTTCACTGTGTTTTATCTCAGTTCTTCTCTGCTTTTGCGTAGACTTTGAAACTTGAAAAGATTAAAGCAGACTTAAACCATGTTTCAGCTCAAGCTCCAGCGGAGCCTTATTTTAGTCAGCATTCTGCCCAGCACTGAAAACATCAGTAATGGAAGTTGTTTCTTCTTTACAAAATGTGAAAATAAGCTTTTCTGTAATTCAGTCATTCATTACGGAAACATCCTAGTACAGAGGCAAGCGTCTTCTGGGCATGAACATTGGGAATGCCAGAAGGGATTAATTTTCTATGGAGGAAATTGTATCAACACAGATATTGGGAGAGGACATATAGCATTTGGTTATATTTTTGCTTTTTTACGATAGGTTTGACGTTGTGTAAGACAATCTTTTGATTGTCTTACACAATCTTTTGAATCTTTTGGAAGGATAAGTATTATTATCATCAAAATTGCTTAGCCTTAGTGTTAGGTGACTTTGGAAAAGACTCTTCTGTCAGATCTCAGCACAGACACTGCTGACTCAAGATTTTTTGCAGAGGATGTGCGATTCACCTACCTCCCCTGACAGTAACACTTCTGTTACACAGTGAGTAACACATTTCCTCTGACAATAACACTTTTGCTTAAATATCTGATATTTCATCAAACATCTTTGTTTCTGACCTTCACTTGGTTCTGTTACATAACTTCTAGGTCTCCTAAGTG